CCTTGCGGGTCACCCCACATACCCAACCAGCAAGCACTCAGAGACATGCAAACCAACAGGCACGCACACACACACAACCGGCAAGCACTCAGACAGGCATGCAAACCAGCAGGCACGCATACACAGACTTGGGACCACAACAGAATGCGGGAATCACAGCAAGGCATTCATTCCAGTGACAAATCCCAGAAATCAGCAGTGTTCTCAGTCTGTGTTTTTGGCGGGTCATTACATTATGAAAATTATTTAAATCGGGATTTCCGAATTAATTTGAAAAAAGAAAATAAAAAGGTTAAATTCGAGAAAATAAAATGAAATTTGGAAAAGAAATTCGAGAATTTTCAAAACGAAAAGAAAGTTGAATTCGGATTTGAAAGTTGATTTGGTTCTTTTTCGGGATTTAATTATTTAAGTAATTAAAATGTTCGGTTTTGTAAAAGTTCAAATTTGTACTGAAGGTTCAATTTTAGCCGAAATTCGCAAAGAAAATTTTGAAGAATATTTTCGAATTAGGAGAAATTAATTTTGAAGAAGTTTTGAAATTCGAAAGTATTCAAATTTAAAATTTCGGTACGAAAAAGAAATTTTGAATGCAAAGATTTGAAAGGAATTGCAATTTTCGGGTGGAATAAAATTTTAGGATATTTTTGAAGAAACTGATTTCGAAATGCAAAGTATTCGGAAAATTTTTCGAAATTCAAAAGCATTTCAAAATTCCAGAAAAAGGAGCTAGAGAATAACTAAATTGATTAATTTTCAAAAATAATTTTTGAAGGATAATTGTCCAGAAAAAGGAAATAATAATTGTTAACTATGAAAAAGAAAACTATCTGCTAAAGAAAATTTTTCGAAAAGGATTAATTTCAAAAACAGCAAAAAGAAAACGGGCAAGTTCTATGATGTTTGTTGAGAGAGATTCGATGATTTGTAAGCCCTGTCCTATTGTGCCATATGTCGCGCGGGTAGGGGAGGGAGCGCGAAGCAGGTGGGGAAAGAAACG